GACAAAGTGTTTGTTGTGGGTCATGACTGGGGTGCAATCATAGCTTGGCATTTGTGCATGTTTAGGCCGGATAAAGTGAAGGCTTTGGTCAACCTCAGTGTTCATTTTATCCCTAGGGATCCTCGTCATGACCTTGTTGAAATCATGAGGGCCATGTATGGAGATGATCACTACATCGTCAGATTCCAGGTATGAACACCATTATATTGATTCAATAGCTAGTCAAAATCACTGGTACACTGGATAAATCTCACTTTCTAACCTTAATCAATAAAAAATTACAAGAATAAAACCAATAGACTGTTCTTATTGAGAGTCAAACTTGTAAATTGTAATCAGATCGACCAACTTAATGTAGGTACCAGGGGAGATTGAAGCAGAGTTTGCTCCTCTTGGAGTGAAGACATGTCTCAGAGACTTTTTTTCATACCGCAAACCACGACCATTGTATTTTCCTAAAGGCAAAGGCTTTAGTGCAAATACAGATGGTTCAACTGCCCTGCCGGCATGGTTGCCGGAGGAAGACTTGGACTATTTTGTCAGCCGGTATGAGAAGACGGGCTTCACCGGAGGAGTGAACTACTACCGAGCTTTGAAATTGTGACTCCTCACTACTCTTATTTCTTGAATCTTGATTTTTTATCATATATTTGATGGCATGTGAATAGTAAGTGATTATTGAGGGGCTTAAAATGCAGAGATTGGGAGCTGACTGCACCTTGGTCGGAGGCAAAAGTGATGGTGCCGACCAAATTCATAGTTGGAGACCTGGACTTGGTTTATCATATTAAAGGTGCAAAAGAATACATACACGATGGAGGGTTCAAGAGTGATGTGCCATTACTGGAAGATGTGGTTGTTCTTCAAGGTGTGGCTCATTTCATTAACCAAGAAGCACATGAAGAGGTTAACAACCACATTTACAACTTCATCAAGAAGTTCTAGATAGGCTTTACTATAATCAAGGGTTGTGTTTACAACCAATAATAAACTTAATAACTAGTCAAGCCAAGTTCCTTGTGGTTCTTTACTTCAATAATAAACTTAAAAGCTAGTCAAGCCAAGTTCTTTGTTTGCTAGGATCATATAAGGCAGCATTTATCAAGATCTCTGGTGTTCTGTGTCTGTTTTACGGCCAAGTTTATTTCCGTTCGCTTCGGGAGGTATGGGAGAGGCCCAAGAAGAATTGTCACTGTACTTGTGGAGTTGTGGATAGTACTATCAAAGCGGGTCACCCCGCCCCGCCACAGGCCTAATTTCTGGCAAGCTTCTGCGTGCCGGCCCGCCGGCTAGGGTTCCGCAAATTATGCTGTGCAACCGAATGCACCTTGCAAGGTGCATACGGTTGCAAAACGGCGCCGTTTTGGTTAAAAAAACGCGCGTCCCACTTAAAGAAGAAATCAGGTTCGATTCCCGGCAATAGCATTTTTATATATCCAGAAATTCATAACTATATAACCACAATTTCATAACTATATATCCACAATTTCATAACTTATATCCACAGTGAATGAATGAAGTAAAAATCCACAATGAATGAATGAATGAAGTAAAAATCCACAATGAATGAACTAAATATCCACAATATATGATTGAACTAAATATCCACAATGAATGAACTAAATATCCATAAATTCATAACTATATAACCACAATTTCATAACTATATATCCACAATTTCATAACTATATATCCACAGTGAATGAATGAAGTAAAAATCCACAATGAATGAATGAATGAAGTAAAAATCCACAATGAATGAATGAATGAAGTAAAAATCCACAATAAATGAACTAAATATCCACAATATATGATTGAACTAAATATCCACAATGAATGAACTAAATATCCATAAATTCATAACTATATAACCACAATTTCATAACTATATATCCACAATTTCATAACTATATATCCATAATAATGCTATTGCTGAGAGTCGAACCTAATTTTTTTTTTTTTTTAAGTGGGACGCGCGTTTTTAATCAAAACGACGTCGTTTTGAACCGTATGCACCATGCTCATGGTACATTCGGTTGCACAGCATAACTATTGCTAGGGTTCATGCAACCCGCCCCACGTGAGTTGGCGGATCCTGGGGCCAGCCCGCGAACTTTTGTTTATTTATTTATTATTATTTTTTTCAAAATCTCAAATCTCAGAAATCTCCTGCGATGAAGTCTCAAATCCTTCTCCTCGTTAGAATTTCCTCGCCGGTGATCTTAAGCCCAGACAACGTTTCTATTTCTCCCATGTTTTTTTTTTTAAACCTTTGTTGTTTCGTCTTGTCTTCCGGCAAAGATGAAGAGCTTTCAGTAGTATAACTTGTAGACATTGCAATAATGGAGGAACCACCCTATATTTTGGGCTAAGTGAGAAGAGAAAGAAACCCAGTGTAGAAGCGGCATAAACCTAAGCGAGACTAGCAAGCTGGAAGAGAAACTATGGAGTTTTGTGGTCTCCACTCTGTGTAATGTATACATATACTCAACCAAGATCAGGAAGAAGAAACCCAGCAAATGAAATGACCTTTTAGCCCAGCATGGTAACCCAGCAAATGAAATGACCTTTTAGCCCTTTACTAACGTCTATATAATCCTTTTAGCCCTTAGTCAAGGGTTTAACTCGTCCAAATTAAAAAATGAGGACCAAATTTAAAAAATCACAATAGTTGGATATATATATACACACTCATGCCCGCATGGCCGGGCAACTCAGTTGATCACAAGTCTCACTAGTGATTGTGGGGATGTGGGCCGAATTTGTGCGCAAAAGTGCAAAACAAAGAACCATTCAATTTGGAAAAGATTTAATGGCTTTAATTTAAATCAAGGGGAGTGGAAAAATATCATCCTTACTAGGCTTGAGAGTCAATACCACCCCCATTAGGAAAAGTCACTTCATGCCACTTGATCACAACATCATTGGCATTTAGAAGTTCATTTTAGAGTTCAGTAACTATGGTTTGCCTTTAGAATACATCTACCAACAATATAAAGTACATTCAACAACGGTATAAAGTACACCTAACATTATAATTAATTTCACAAAATGTGAAAGTTAGTTGCACTTAGAGTTCATCTTTTAACAGTATAAAGTGCATCTAGCGTTATCATTAATTGCACTAAATATGAAATTTAATTGCACTTAGAGTTCACTTTTTAAATTTTATGATTTATTTTTTATATTTGGTTTTAAGGTTTACTTTTTACTATTTTGGAGTTTAAATTTTATGGTTAAGCTTTATGTTTAGTTTTTTGGATTAATCAATAGATGCACTACGTAGTTTTACTTAATTGCGCTCTATAGTGTGGAAAGTTTAATTTTATAGTGTTGTTAATTGCATTTTAGTGTTTGAGTTATTTTAAAAATAATTATAAAATAATAAAGAAAATAAGTAAAGAAGAAAGTGTTACTTTGACTAATTAATGAATAATAAACATAACGGGTAAAATGAGACATTAGAGTATCTTCTATTCCTAATAATTACCCATTGTTCAGTTGACTTAAATCATAAATTAATTTTTTTCTCAAAATTTGACGCAAATGACATTAGGCAAATGAGCTGAGAAGATGTATGACTTTTATAAGCAATTTCATCTAAATTGGTCAAATAATAAATTTAGTAATCACAAGGTTCTAAGTTCAACTTCTTATAAAATCTATTTATTAAGTTTATTCTTCCAAAAGGCTGAACCCCAACCCTAAGGGCCCCACACATAAGCAAACCAACTATAGATAATCTAGGTGATATTCACCCCGCCCCTACCTTCAAATAGATGTAATAGGCACTCAGATTTTTAGATTTTATGCATGGTTAGTTGGTTAGTATTATAAGTACTTTCATTTTTTATTTATTTATTTATATATTATTGATGGTAAGTGATTCATTAAACCAAAAGTAGACATAATTCATATTCCTTTTTTTTTTTTTTTTTTTCTAAATAAATGATAACACGTGATCATAATGTTATTTTTTTAAAACCAATTATTGCAAATAACCAAAAATGGTAGGAAACTAGGGACCACAAGTGCACAACATTTTACAATAGGGACATGGAAGGTCACTTTACTGTACAATAGGGCTCGTTTATGGAAAATGATATTTGGATTTGGAATGAGTAAAACTTTTATTACGTATATGCTTAAAAAACAAAATATTAGGTATCGTGATTTTATTGTAGAAGAAAAATAAAATAATAAAATAATAAATAATAAAATTATGATCCAATTTTTGAAACTCATATTGAATCAAAATATGACAAGTAAACATAGAATAAAAATTGAAAGTATTACATGTATCTCTACAATACTTTTTCACTTTTTAAATTAATTGACGCATTATTTTCTCTATATCTATACAATTTAAACCCATTTGAATACACATTACTAATAAAAGGTTTTGGTTCATATTATAACCTTAACCTAATTAATTATTATGCTTAGGCCGGTTATTCTGTTAAATGATGAAGAATGGTTGGTAATAAAGTACACGTTTTTAAATACTTCGTTTTCAATTGCATGTGTTCTGGTCCTAATGAAAATAATGTTGTTGGCGATAATTCCATTAGGTCCACAAATTTTAGTAGAATTCCATTAGGTAACACGCATTCTTTTTGTTGCTACCACATGCCGGCTCTCTTCAGTCTCTTGTAAAAACAAAAATGGAATTATCGCCAAAGAAAATGATATATAAAATAAGTAAAATATTCATTATGTATATTCTGAAAGGAATGACCAGATGGGTGTAGTAGAATTCTTGTATCAAAGATTACATCAGTTTGATTTATACCAACACTATATATCAGAAATCAAGTTGATAAAAGTATTAATTTTGTAATTACAATATTACAAGTGTGACAACCGTAAATTTCTGTTGTTGCTCCAAACCAAAAAAAAAAAAAAAAAACAAAAAAACAAAAAAAAAAAAAAAGACAAAACAAAAAACAAAAAACATGAGGAAACTTGGGACCGCAGCAATAAATTTACCTGTACAGAAATGTGAGTTATAAAGCAAAACTAGGCAGAAGAGCTGGTACAGAGAGAAGAGAAAAATGGAGAAGATAACACACAAGACGGTGGGCGCGAATGGGATAAACATGCACATTGCAGAATTGGGGGAAGGCCCCTTGGTCCTCTTCCTCCACGGCTTCCCTGAGCTCTGGTTCTCATGGCGCTACCAGATCCTCTTTCTCGCCGCCAAAGGCTACCGGGCCGTGGCGCCGGACCTTCGCGGCTACGGCGAAACCACCGGCGCGCCCACCAATGACTCTTCAAAATCCACCGTCTTTCACGCTGTGGGTGACCTCATAGAGCTCCTCCAGTCCATCGCTCCTGAGGAAGACAAAGTGTTCGTTGTGGGTCATGACTGGGGCGCAATCATAGCTTGGCACTTGTGCCTGTTTCGGCCGGATAAAGTGAAGGCTTTGGTCAACCTTAGCGTTCATTTTCTCGCTAGGGATCCTCATCAAGACCTTGTTGAAATCTATAGGGCCACGTATGGAGATGATCACTACTTCGTCAGATTCCAGGTATCAATAGACTGTTCTTATTAAGAATCAAACTTGTAATCAGATCGACCAATTTAATCAGAGTTGTTCCAAAATAACTCTTTTGGAATATAATGATGTAGGTACCAGGGGAGATAGAAGCGGAGTTTGCTCATCTTGGAGTGAAGACATGTCTCAAAGACTTTTTTACATACCACAAACCACAACAATTGTATTTTCCTAAAGGCAAAGGCTTTAGTGCAAATTCCGATGGCTCAAACGCCCTGCCGGCATGGTTGCCGGAGGAAGACTTGGACTATTACGTCAGCCGGTATGAGAAGACAGGCTTCACCGGAGGAGTGAACTACTACCGAGCTTTGAAATTGTGAGTCCTCACTACTCTTAATTATTTCTTGTTTCTTGATTTTTGATCATATTTGAGCGGCTTAAAATGCAGAAACTGGGAGCTGACTGCACCTTGGTCTGAAGGCAAAGTGATGGTGCCAACCAAATTCATAGTTGGAGACCTGGACTTGGTTTACCATATTGAAGGTGCAAAAGAATACATACATGATGGAGGGTTCAAGAATGATGTGCCATTGCTGGAAGATGTGGTTGTTCTTGAAGGTGTGGGTCATTTCATCAACCAAGAAGCACATGAAGAGGTTAACAACCACATTTACAACTTCATAAACAAGTTCTAGATTGGCCGTGCTTTTCTATAATCAAGCTTGCTCTATGTTTACCACCAATAATAAACTTAATAGCTAGTCAAGCCAAGTTCCTTGTGGTTCTTTGCTTGCTATGTTTACTTATGCATACAATAATGTAAACTATTTTATTGTCATGGTATAATGGATTAAAAGGTATAATCCTATTGTATTGGTGCATATATATATAAATTAGTAAGTGGTAATAAATATTTGGTAGTAGTGATTAGGAGTAATTTAAAAACTGTCTATTAACCTCTTATGGGGCATTTGGTTGGATGGAGGGAATTAGGTAGGAAAAAAATTGTAATTTCATGGGGGAGGAATAATGGGAGAATAAAGTGGTAATTTAAATTCCATGTTAAACATGACTTTTAGGTTAAAAAAAGAGAGGGAGATAATTTTGGGAAGACATGTGATAATGAGGGAATTTTAATTCTGCGGAATTACAATTCCCTCCAACCAAACGAATGAATTTGTTTGTCTTTAGAATTATGTGGGTGTAGAATTGTAATTCCCTCCAATCAAACATCCTGTGCGTGCCGACCAACTATAGATAATCTAGACAAGATTCACCCGCGCCCACCTTCAAATAGATGTAATAGATACTCAAATTTTTAGATTTTATACATGGTTACTTGGTTAGTAACTTAGTATTATAAGTACTCCCATTTTTTATTTTAATTTTTATTGGTGTTGATATGGTAAGTGATTCATTAAACAAAAAGTAGACATTATCAGTTGGGAAGAATGTGGGGAGAATGTAAGAGTGATTAGGAAAAAGAATGTGGGAGGCAAGAGAAAAAAAGAAAAGAAAAAAAAAAAGAAGAGAAAACTGATTTTTTTAAAAAAAATAAAAATAAATAAATACTGCGTTAGGCGCGCTGTCGACGCGTGGCACTTGACTGTGCGCAAATGCGCACAACTTTTGTTGTTGTTGTTGTAGTTTTTTTTTTTTTTTTTTTCCTGACATTATTTCAAGCACTTGCAGGCCAATTATTTTTCCAATAATTCTTCTCCACATCAAGTATTAACTTTGTTTGAGAGAATTCATCTGACAATAACTCCAAAATAACCACTATAGTGGATGTTCTAAGGGGAAGTGTCAATTTATATTATGGACTAGGGTCCACATAGTATTATGGACCCTGAATTGAAACGAGGTACAAAATTCATACTCGTAAAGTACAAAATTTCATAACACAAAGCACACAAAATTACAACACAATACACATAGCATATCATTATGAACCTAGCTGGATTGAAAAGACGATGTACATAATTCATACTCGTAACGTACAGAATTTCATCACATAAGAAACATATACATGCTATATTTACTTATTTTTCAAATATGATTTAAGTACATAATTTGTGTTCATAGACACAGAATTTCACAACACAAGACACATAAATTCATAACATAAGACACAATTACTAATTTTTTTCAATACAAAATTCATGCTCTTAAGATACAAAATTCCGTAATGCAAGACACAAAAAGTCACAACATACACATAAACCAGGGTCTAAAGTGCAGTGTGACTCCCTGATCCATAGTATAAGGAGGGGGGGGGGGGGGGGATAGGCCACTTCGATGATTTTGATTGACAAAGTTATTATTATTATTATTACTATTATTATTATTATTATTATTATTATTATATTTTGGTGAAAAAACACACCACCACCACGAAGACTACTTAATCCTTCTAAATCTTGTTCCTCCCGCAGCAGCATGAAGGAGCTCAGTTATCCCGTTAGGAGGGCCCTCCAAAGTCTTAATCCCCCAAGTGATTGTTTGTCCGAGATTAGCCAAATAGTCTGCAATTCACCCAATTGCAACTATAAATATAGTTTAAGCATTTTCGAAAGGAGTGAATATGTGAAATATGATTTTCATACTAGAAGATTATAAATTTAAGAGTAAATACTCAAAATGATCCCTCGACTATAGCTAAATTCACAAATTGGTCCTCAACTTTCAATTTCAACCAATTAAGTCCATAACTTTGCAATTTTGACACGATTTGGTCCTCCATCTATTTGACTGTTTGTTGGCCGCGATCTTTGAGGATATGTATGTAGTTTCACGTGCAAAGCTCAAGAAAACGCTCTTGGAGGTGACATCGTTGTTTCGGAGGGAAAAGTGCTTCTCCGCTTGCTGCTTGGGGATCACGAGCCGGTTCAGCTTAGAGAACGCTCTTGGAGGTGACAGCGTCGTTTCGGAGGGGCGAAGTGCTTCTCCGCTTGCTGCTTGGGGATCCCGAGCCGATTCAGCTTGCCTACATCGCTTGGAGTCATGGCTTTCTGGAAGTGCCACTCCAGGGACTTCGGCGATCTATCTATCAAAAGCTATAATCTCTCCGGCATGGGGTGCATCGCCGGCAGTGGATTCAAATGTAACAGTGCGGTCTAGAAATGCAACCGGAACCTTAAAAAACCGACGATGGACCATGAAATTACATATATATCCTAAAAATGTGCAGTCAACAAACGGTCAAATAGACAAAAGGACCAAATTGTGTTAAAATTGCAAAGTTAAGGACTTAATTGGTTGAAATTAAAAGTCGAGAGCCAATTTATGAATTTAATTATAGTCGAGGGACCATTTTGAGTATTTACTCAAATTTAATTTTTGTTAATATTTGTTTAGTCAAGTTGGTCACAGAAGGCAAATTATGCTGTGCATCCGTATGCACCAAGCATGGTGCATACGGATGCAAAAACGACATCGTTTTTATAAAACGCGCGTCTCCCCTTAAAAAAAAAAAAGGTTCGAAACTATAATTCCATAATCGATGAACTATAATTCCATAATTGATGAACTATAATTCCATAATCTAATCTATGAACTAAAATTTTCAGAATGAATGAACTAAAATTCCAGAATCTATGAACTAAAATTTCAGAATCGATGAACTATAATTCCATAATCGATGAACTATAGTTCCATAATCGATGAACTATAATTCCATAATCCATGAACTAAAATTCCATAATGAATGAACAAAATAATGTTGTTACTAGGAATCGAACCTGAATTTTTTTTTTAAAGGGGAGACGCGCGTTTTTAATAAAACGACGTCGTTTTTGCATCTGTATGCACCATGCATGGTGCATACAGATGCACAGCATAACTATTCGTCACAGAAAGGTACAGGCTATTACACATTTACACATGAGCAAAATGTATAGATTTCAATCATATTCTTCTAGCTAGTATAATAAATGTGAGGTTCACTCATCACATCATTGTACAATAGGTAGGTGAAGGGCCATAATAATCAATAGGTATGACTTTTCCCAAACAGGGACAAAGAGCAATCATTATTGTATGGACCATGATCCATACAAGTTGTGTGGATCATATTTTGTATACTATAAAATAATGTACATTCAGTACAAAAATAATGTACATTCAACACAAAAATAATGTACATTGTATTCAGGGGATGTACATTATTTTTATACTGAATGTACATTATATTGTATAATGTACATTCAGTACAAAAATAATGTACATTTAGTATATTAAAAATGTACTTTATGTTATGATCCACATAACATTGTGTGGACCATGGTCCACATAATAATTTACCGACAAAGAGGACCGCAATACACATGACCTTTTGCAAAAGAGGGAGACCGGAGATATTGCGGCCGCCTTAGGAGACCTTAGTAGCAAGCTTAATCAGTAGTTAATGTTCACTTCAGAAACGAACTACTCTACACAGTGAAGACAAAATGGAGAAGATAACACACAAGACGGTTGCCGTGAATGGGATAAACATGCACGTAGCAGAATTGGGAAAAGGCCCCTTGGTGCTCTTCCTCCACGGCTTCCCTGAGCTCTGGTTCTCATGGCGCCACCAGATCCTCTTTCTCGCCGACCACGGCTACCGCGCCGTGGCGCCGGACCTCCGCGGCTACGGCGACACCACCGGCGCGCCCAACGATGACTCTTCAAAGTTCACCGTCTTTCACCTCGTGGGTGACCTCATAGACCTCCTCCAATCCATCGCTCCTGAGGAGGACAAAGTGTTTGTTGTGGGTCATGACTGGGGCGCAATCATAGCTTGGCATTTGTGTATGTTTAGGCCGGATAAAGTGAAGGCTTTGGTCAACCTCAGTGTCCATTTTTTCCCTAGGCATCCTCATCTGGATCTTGTTGAAGGCCATAGGGCCATGTATGGAAATGATCACTACATTTGCAGATTCCAGGTATAAGCTAGCAGCAGTACCTTTTTCTCTCTAGCGAGTTCATGAAATTAGATTTTTGAGGTTTGATCAACAACATATGTAATCTAGTTAGTCGTATATGTGTAGGAACCAGGAGAGATTGAAGCCGAGTTTGCCCCTATTGGAGTCAAAACATGTCTCCAAAACATCATCTTTGCATTCGGTAGACCAGAACCTTTGTATTTTCCTAAAGATAAAGGCTTTACAGATGGTTCAACTGCCCTGCCGGCATGGTTGCCGGAGGAAGACTTGGATTATTATGTGAACCGGTATGAGAAGACAGGCTTCACCGGAGGAGTTAACTACTACCGAGCTTTGAAACTGTGAGTTACCCTTCAATTCCAATCTCTTTTATGCTATATCTTATATCTTAAACTGTGAATCTAACTTTGGGTGGCTTAAAATGCAGAGACTGGGAGTTAACTGCACCCTGGTCTGGGTCAAAAGTGATGGTGCCAACCAAATTCATAGTTGGAGACCTAGACTTAGTTTATCAAATTCCAGGCGCAAAAGAATACATACACAATGGAGGGTTGAAGAATGATGTGCCATTACTGGAAGATGTGGTGGTACTCCAAGGTGTGGCTCATTTTCTCAACCAAGAAGCACCTCAAGAGGTTAACAACCATATCATCAACTTTTTAAACAAGTTTTAAACTTTCTTGTAAGTTTTGTGTTTACACTGCATCAATAAGTGAATAACAATCTTAATAGCAAACTCAAGTATTGGACTTTTCAATAACTGTAATTTTGATTTTTGGAAGTTGAACAAGACAAGATCGATCTATATAATATAATGCTTGTGCTTGGCAAATTATTCTGTGGACGTGCAAGGTGGACTCGGGTCCAAAAATACATATACAATTTATATATTGACGGTAAATATTTTTTGAATGCTACTGGTTCTATTACAATGTAGTATCTGGCTTGAACTCACAACCTTCCAAATGGAAGTCCAATTCGGGTACTATTAGACCACATAGTCTTGATACCGAGCTAATATATTTAATTTTACAATAAACGACAAATTTGATGTAAAAGAATTACTACGTATATTTGTTGGGGTTTAAGTTTGATCATTTAGTACTTTGCTCAAAGATAAATGTATGAAAATACTTAAAGGCAATTTAAAATCTGTATATCAGTTTTCATGAATTTGTTAGAAATTTGTGTTTGTGTTTGTCTGTTTGATGAGGGTGACAAAGGACCAAACATTTTAAGCGCATAATTATTTCTCATAAGTTTTAAATCTTTTTCAGTTAAGTAATAGGGCGGAATTAATGTATAAAATTTATAACATATAAGAACATTCATAGTAGTGATTTTTTGTTATTTTTTATTTTGGTTTAAGTGCCACATAAGAATGAGAAGAGGGAGAAAAAAAAAAACAAAACAAAAAAAAAAAACAAAACAAAACAAAAACGACATTTGACAATTTTATAAAACAAAAATAGTAAATAAAGCTTTTTGAGTCAAAGTGGCCGCAAGTTGGGTACGGGTTCCACACGCCCTTGGGGCACACTCCACTTGCGCACTTCAGTCATTTTTTTTAAATACTCCTACAAAACTTGCAACAATTAAGTTTTTACAGGAGTTAATTTTTTTAAAAAAAAAACCACCTTTCACATCAGTTAAAATTCAAAGAGTAGTTTTTGTATTCTGCAAAATCTATGTAAAAACCACATATGTGCATGCTCTTACAGGAGTTGCAACCTTAAAGATCCAATCTCGTACCTCAACAATGACAACTTCTTGTTCAATATTATTACTCCAAGCAACTTTTTTTTAGTAAAGATGCAGATTTATTTTATTTTTGATTTTTTTATTTTACAAAGTGGGTTTACAAACTCTCATACTTTATACTCTATCTGTCTCATTTTAAAAGTTCTACTTAAAGCAACCTCATTAGATGAGGATTTTATTTGTTTTTTGCAGAGATGATTCGGAGAAAAAACATGGGGAGAGAAGGGAAAGGAGGAAAAGAAAAAGTAAAAGGAACTACCGCCCAAAAAATAATTGATGAGAAAACAATTGTTTTTTTGTGGGATCCAAACATCAATCTTCTCTCTCCACTCCTCTCTCTCTTTCACATGGACATAAAGGCTACAAAAACCATAAGAGCATCCACTTCAGTTGAGGAGATTTGGGGGAGAATGTAAGAGTGATTAGGAAAGAAAATGTGGGAAGCGTAGGAAAAAAAAATCAAAACTGATTTTTTATTAAAAAATAATATAAAAAGTATGGTTAGGCGAGCCTGTTGCCCACGGGCCGTTGCACGCGCCCGTGTGGGCAACTGCTGTGCATGTTGTCCTTTTTTTTTTTTTTTTCTTTCTTAATTTCCTTATTGTCTGCCATGACATTCTCCTCAAATTATTTTCTACCTAAAGGATGGTATCTTACTGTGCACAAGGAGCCCGCCAAACAGTAGAGTGAGTGAGTGAGTAAGTGGGCGCTGCTGAGCTGCATTATTGTAGGATAGTCACGAGGGCAGTAGTAGTCCACCTTCACTTCAGAGTTCAGAGTTCAGAACCACACCAACTAGTGAAAGATCAGAGAGATATGGAGAAGATAGTTCACAAGAAGGTAGCCGTGAATGGCCTAAATATGCACATTGCAGAATTGGGGCAAGGCCCCTTGGTCCTTTTCATTCACGGTTTCCCTGAGCTCTGGTACTCGTGGCGCCACCAGATCCTCTTTCTCGCCGCCAAAGGCTACCGGGCCGTGGCACCGGACCTCCGCGGCTACGGAGAAACCACCGGCGCACCTACCGACGACCCTTCAAAGTTCACCGTCTTTCACATTGTGGGTGACCTCATAGAGCTTCTCCAGTCCATCGCTCCTGAGGAAGACAAAGTGTTCGTTGTGGGCCATGACTGGGGTGCAATCATAGCTTGGCATTTGTGCATGTTTAGGCCGGATAAAGTGAAGGCTTTGGTCAACCTTAGTGTCCATTTTTTCCCTAGGCATCCTCATCTGGATCTTGTTGAAAGCTTTAGGGCCATTTATGGAAATGATCACTACATCTACAGATTCCAGGTATAAACACTTTTCTTGGCATTTAATAGGACTCTTTGCATTGATTATGGGACATTGGGTCTTAATTGTAATAATGGTGTAGGAACCAGGGGAGATTGAAGCAGAGTTTGGCGCAGTTGGAGTAAAGACATGTCTCAGGGACTTATTTGCTTTCCGCAGACCAGAACCATTTTATTTTCCTAAAGGTAAAGGCTTTAGTGCAATTACAGATGGTTCAACCGCCCCTGCCATCTTGGTTGTCGGCACAAGACTTGGATTATTTTGTGAGCCGCTTCGAGAAGACAGGCTTCACTGGAGGGGTCAACTATTACCGAGCTCTTAAATTGTAAATCGCACTCACCCTTCTCTCTTACCCCTCACCCCCGATTCACAAGATAATGGATGTGTAAATCGAGTTAACTTGACTACTTATTATATGGAAGGGTCCAATGTCCACGAAGATTTCACCACATTGGTGTAACTCCTACTGGCTCAATCTTGTATTTTTGCTTATAATCTATCATTCAGAAATTAACTGAACTAATTCTCTTACTTCTATTAAATAGATCTAATATTAAGTGGCATAAAATGCAGGGATTGGGAGCTGAGTGCACCTTGGTCTGAAGCCAAAGTGATGGTGCCAACCAAATTCATAGTTGGAGACCTGGACTTGGCTTACCATATTAAAGGTGCAAAAGAATACATACACAATGGAGGGTTGAAGAATGATGTGCCATTGCTGGAAGATGTGGTGGTACTTGAAGGTGTGGCCCATTTTATCAACCAAGAAGCACCTCAAGAGGTTAACAACCACATCTACGACTTTATAAACAAGTTCTAGACTATCTTGTAAGGTGTATGTTCGTGTTTAATGATATAATAGTATGGACTTTATTGTAATGGTATAATAGGTCATTTTGTAAGTGGCTTGTGGTCCACTGGTATCCGATTGGTTTCTTATGTGGGAGGTCTGACTGCTTGTGAGTTGTTTGCCAAAAACTTGATTTGATTGTTTTTATGTTTTTGACTTGTAATATGAACAAATAATTTTTTTTAGACTTGGTATTTTGACTTTGATATTACTATATTAGATGTTACTATTTGACTTATTTGTTATACTTCGTAGTTGTTATGTTGTTTGTTTGACTATTGTGTGAACATTGACTATTTCTTATTCACGAACAAAGTATGATCATAAATATGTACATTTGTTTGTTTGTTTAGCATTCGCGAACGTACTTTGTTTGCAAACGTTAACAAATGAACATGAGAAGATAACGCACAAGACGGTGGCCGTGAATGGGATAAATATGCACATTGCAGAAACTCGCAGTCACCTTTTAATTTTTTTTTTTCATTAATTGACGAGCGAAACTCGCAGAAGAGAGTGTGCACTAGGTAAATTTCAGACTCTAACCGTCAAAGAACACAAAGAAGTAAACTATATCTTAAATTGTCCATAACTAGTCTAGTCGAAAAGGCCAATAAGTTGCTTTTTACTTGGCTGGGATTGTCCCACCCTTAAATCTTTATTGTTTATTCTTTCATTTGTAGTCTCAAAATCTCATTGATCATGGCTTCCTTATCCGCTCAAAATGAAGAAAGAGTTAATTTGATCAATAAATAGTAAACAAAATAGACAAAGAGAGTACAATAAAGTGCACATATTTATTATACAAAATACAAAAGTTTTATATTACATAGACTTATATTACAAAATTTTAAAAACTTTCTCATATTTTTAAAGTCATTGATCTTAAAAAGATCAACGGATCATATTGCCAAAAAAGTACAAATCTAAGGACCACAATAGTTATTCCCAAAAAAAAAAAAAGGACCACAAACTGAATAGGTATGTGACTTTTCCCAAACAGGGACAAAGAGGGACCGCAATACACGTGACTTAAAAAGAGATTTTTTCCAAAAGAGGGAGAACTGGAGATATGGCGGCCGCATTAGGAGACCTTAGTAGCAGACCTTAATTACGGAGTAGTATTTAACGTTCACTCCAGAAACGAAATTAGGCAGAGCTCACAGTGAAGAGAAAATGGAGAAGATAACACACAAGACGGTGGGCGTGAATGGGATAAACATGCACGTAGCAGAATTGGGGGAAGGCCCCTTGGTCCTCTTCCTCCACGGCTTCCCTGAGCTCTGGTACTCATGGCGCCACCAAATCCTCTTTCTCGCCGACCACGGCTACCGGGCCGTGGCGCCGGACCTCCGCGGCTACGGCGACACCACCGGCGCACCCAACAATGACCCTTCAAAGTTCACCGTGTTTCACATTGTGGGTGACCTCATAGAGCTTCTCCAGTCCATCGCTCCTGAAGAAGACAAAGTGTTCGTTGTGGGTCATGACTGGGGTGCACTCATAGCTTGGCAATTGTGCATGTTTAGGCCGGATAAAGTGAAGGCTTTGGTCAACCTCAGTGTCCAGTTTTTCCCTAGGCATCCTCATCTGGATCTCGTTGAAAGCTTTAAGGCCATGTATGGAAATGATCACTACATTTGCAGATTCCAGGTATATATAAGCAGCAGTGCCTTACTTTTTGAGGTTTAATCAACAACGTATGTAACCTAGTCGTATATGTGCAGGAACCAGGAGAGATTGAAGCCGAGTTAGCCCCTATTGGAATCAAAACATGTCTCCAAAACATCTTTGCATTCCGCAGACCAGGACCTTTGTATTTTCCTAAAGGCAAAGGTTTTAGTGCAAATACAGATGGTTCAACGGCCCTGCCGGCATGGTTGCCGGAGGAAGACTTGGATTATTTCGTCAGCCGGTATGAGAAGACAGGCTTCACCGGAGGAGTGAACTACTACCGAGCTTTGAAACTGTGAGTAGTTACCCTTAGCTTCAATTCCATATCGATCTGATCTCTTTCTTGTTTATGCTATATCTTGTATATTTGTGTTGATACCCCAGGCCAGATGTTATTGGTAATTTCATATTTTGAGCATTTTTTTTTAATACCGCTCTACTGAACTAGTGAACGAATTGAAGTCTGTGTACAGGTATATTTTGAACATTTGTTAAGTCATGGGATGGTGACCGTTACAAAACATTAAATACATTTTGGTCCGCTTGAAAAGTACATAAAAATTTAATATTTTTTTAAGACCCTGTTTGGTAAATTGCTGTTTGCTGTTAACTGATTGGATTAAATAGAAGGTATAACTAATTGAGGCTAACTGATAGCTGTTTAGTATAATTTCTTTTCCCAAAAAGTTAATTGAAAAGTTATTTTGCGTAATTTTTTAAATTTTAATATTTTTTAGTAAAAAAATTAATTAACTAAATATTTATATTAAATTTTAAATCAAATTAAATAATTGATAACGGTCAAATAAACCAAAATTGATTTATAAACTAACTATTTTACCAAATAGGCCTAAACCTTTTCTGAACCTTGTCGAAAGAAAGGTGGTTATCAAGATTTTCAATAACTGACGACGTGTAGTAGAAAATCTACCGTTCGACGACGGTTAAAGTTGCCGTAATTTTTTTACCACTTTTTCAAGTTATCAAAAAAAAAAAAAAAAAATTGGTGGTCATTTTAAAATGTTGATTTTTTTTTTTTTTTATTAGTGAAGAAGGGGAGATAGAAATGGAAAACAATTCAAAAAGGTGACATGATTGATGAATGCCTGATTGGCAGGTTTTTGTTTTCTAACCGTTTTTGTTTTGTTTTGTTTTATTTTGTTTTGTTTTGTTTTTTTGAAGAAGAAGAATCTAACCGTTTTTGTTAGTTTCTCACATAGTCACACCCTTCGCCCTAGGTTTATACCAAATTGCTATGATTGTTTGAAAATATTTTAACAATAATTATTTTTTGAAAAAAAAAAACAATCATTAAATATTAGAAATTAAATTAACACACTGTTAACCTAATTGATCAAAATTTTCAACCATAAAAAAAAAATGCTAGTATATATCACTTTTGAAAATTTTGTTAGTATCAAAGAACAAATTTTTAATTCAGACCTCAAAAGTGATCAGAAATGTCATTTTGGACTAAAATCTTTGATTTCCAATCATTGTTAAAAATGTTGATATTTTCTAGTTTTTGAGTGTTGTAATACTCTCAAAAAGTGAGTTCACGTGTATTTAACATTGAGTGGCGCGGCTTAAAACGCATGCAGAGACTGGGAGCTAACTGCAGCCTGGTCTGAGACAAAAGTGATGGTGCCAACCAAATTCATAGTTGGAGACCTAGACTTAGTTTACCATATTCCAGGTGCAAAAGAATACATACACAATGGAGGGTTGAAGAATGATGTGCCACTGCTTGAAGATGTGGTGGTACTCCAAGGTGTGGCTCATTTCCTTAACCAAGAAGCACCTGAAGAGGTTAACAACCATATCATCAACTTTTTAAACAAGTTTTAAACTTTCTTGTAAGTTTTGTGTTTACATTGAATAAGTGAATAACAACCATTGGACTTCTTTAATAACTGTAATTTTGATTTGTGGAAGTTGAACAAGACCAGATATATAATGCTTATGAGTTATGATTATTTGTTGTTGTTTTACATTTACATGCAATTATTTTTATTCATCCCAAAAGGTTGAATCCCCAACCACAAGGGCCCCTGCCTACACCCCGACCCGACAGAGCAGCATCTGGGAGGATGTAAATTATGGTAACTCAATTGAACACAGAGACTAGACTTTTGCTTAGTGTGCATAAAGAGTCATCTCACTTTGAGAGATTGCTCCCATACTGCCGCTGATGAGACTCGATCCCTTATCATTCTTCCCACATGCATATTTAATTTTAAGTTAAACAATAAATTAGAGTTTTTTCCAAAAAAAAAAAATAATAATAATTAGAGTTTGAGTTTCGGTTAGTTGGTTACTTGGTTGCATATTTGACCATTATTTAGTACTTTGTACATAGATAAATGTATGAAAATACTTAAATAAAGGCAATTTAAAATCTCTGCATAAATTTTCATGAATTGGTTAGAAATTCAGGTTTTGTGTTTGATGAGGGTGACAATAGATCAAGCAATCCAAGTGTGTAATTATTTATTTTTGGGTGAAGTGCCAAATAGCACCATGAACCAATTGCGATATGTCATGCCGCACCTTGAATTTACATAAGTGATTATTCGATTCACAAACCAAAAAAAATTGTCGGCCTAACCTTTTTTACAGGTTTCCCGGTTGCCTTGATGACATGGCACAGGTAATGTGCTGATGTGGAATTTTTTTTTGTTTTAAGTCAGTCTTTGCTTGGTCAAATAAGCTTACTCAGATCATGAACGACTATCGTCTCCAAAACCACAGCAATTTTCCCCTTCCTCGTTAAAGCCTATCGTGGAATGGGTCGACTAACCTCTGCGATTGAAATCCCAGAAGAACGGCGCCGGAGCCACAGAGATAGCGGCCGCGACCGTGACCGTGGCCGTTACTCTCCGGAATCCAATTCTTATCGCCGTCGCTATCGGAGTCGCAGCCGTAACCCTAGCCGAAGCCGGAGTCGCAGTCTCAGCGGCAGCAGGAGTCGTAGCCGTAGTCCAGACTACTCAAGGTATGAGCCTTCCTCTCATAATAACCGTCGTGACCAACGGTCCTATTCCCCTTACCGTTCGAGCCATCGACGAAGCCCTGATTACGAACCCTACAAATTCGAACGTCGGGGAGATCGAAGGAAAGGCTACGACAATGGAGATTACAGGAACAGGCGAGCTGCCGAGTCAGAATCGGATGAGGAGCTAAAAGGCTTGAGTTTTGAGGATTACAGGAGGCTGAAGCGTCAGAAGCCTCCTATGGATAATGAGCTCATGGTTGGCCCTATGCCAGTGCCCAGGACTGATGGACAGCCGGTTAACTATGGTGGAGCACTTAGGCCTGGTGAAGGTGATGCTATTGCCCAGTATGTTCAGCAAGGAAAACGTATTCCCCGTAGAGGTGAAGTGGGTCTTTCAGCTGAGGAGATTTCAAAGTTTGAAAGTCTTGGATATGTGATGAGTGGTAGTAGGCATCAGAGAATGAATGTTATCCGTATCAGAAAGGAAAACCAGGTTTACAGTGCTGAGGATAAGCGAGCATTGGCTATGTTTAATTACGAGGAGAAGGCTAAGCGTGAACAGAAGGTTATGCCTGATTTGCAGCGCCTGATGCAACGCCATATTGGCCCTGATGTTGGTCCATCTCATGATCCGTTTGCTAGAAGATCCGCTGACATGGCTGATGCTTGATGCTTATGTATATTGTGGCTCTGCAAACTGGTTTCATTCGATGCACAAGTCTGAATTTTATTAGCTTACAAGCCTCTCTCCCTAATGAATTTAGCAAACAGTATTGTATAATAGAGGTTACTTTATATTATTTAATATAAATGGTGAAAGGGCTGCCAACTAAATACCTCCACATCAGCAAGAAAGAAAAAAAAAAAAAGAAAAAAAAAATCTCCACATCATCAAGTTATAACTTGTTACTTGGAGGCAACCTGCTAAATTAAAAAGCTAGGTGGACAAAATTTTTTAGTTTGTGAATCGAATAATCACTTATGTAAGTTCATGGTGCGGCATGACATATCGCAATTGGTTCATGGTGCGATTTGGCACTTGAGCCTTTATTTTTTATAAGTTGTAAATCTTTTCCAGGCAACTAACGATTTAAACTTATATTATGAGAGTTGTAATTGTAACTGATGATTTTTTTTTTTTAAAGATGAGTTGACCTAAGGGTGAGATTTAACCACATGTTTCACCTATAGCCTTCACCGCACATGAACCTAAGCATAGATATAATTAGAGTTAATTACATCGGAGGTCCCTTGTCTTTGGTGACAATTCTAAATTTAGTCCCAGATTATCGTTTTTGTCATTTTACATCCCAGACTATTGTTTTTTGGACACTTTTAGTCATTCTCATGATTTTTTATATTTTTAGTAAGGACATTTTTGTCTTTTCATATTTTTCTTTTGTTATTTTTCAGGTTTCAACCAGTTTAATTGGTTTAGGACTTTACTAAAACTTGGTTGAAAATTTTGGTTACTAAAAATCAGAGGTTACCTAAAGTTCTAAACGAATTAAACTGGGTGAAACAAGAAAAATAACAAAAGAAAATTATGAAGAGACAAAAATGCCCTTACTAAAAATAGAAAAAATTATGAGAAGGACTAAACGTGTCAAAAAACGATAGTCTGGGATGTAAAATGGCAAAAACGATAGTATGAGACTAAATTTAAAATTACCACCAAAGACAAGGGACCTCATGTGGAATTAACTCATATAATTATTTATTTATTTATCACTCCAACCAAGAAAGGAATTTGCATAGTTTTATTTCCGCATGTCCACTCGGCAGATCCATTCGGCAAGAGCTAAATACATGTATGTCTCCCCTGGTCTTAACCTTTGCTGAAAAGAGCTAGTATAGGGTACTGAGAGAAGAGATAATGGAGAAGATAACGCACAAGACGGTGGGCGTGAACCCCAATCTTAAGGGCCCCCCACACCCCGGCCCGACAGAGTATTTGGGAGGATGTAAATCATGGTGACTCAACTGAACATTAATCACAAAGGCTAGACCGGTGCTCACTGCGCACAAGAAACCCCCCTCACTTTGAGATGTTGCTCACACACTACCGCTGGTGAGACTCGATCCTTGGTCATTCTTCCAAAGTTTCACCTCTATGACCAGTTGAGCTACCCATGCGGGCTTAATTTCGTGATTATTGCATATATGGGTAGAATGGCCTAATTAGATCGGGTTCTTGAGGTTTGTAAAGATTATGTGTAATTACCTTTGATGGTCACATTCGATTACAATGAGAATTGGATTGAATTTTCAAACAACTACTTGTACAAACTCTATATCCTTATGGGACTTGAAATTGATTCACCATTCTTAATGGTGCTGATTTGTTCATAACTACTGAAGCATAAAGAGCCAATAATATCTCCCCTGAGACTCGAAATCACAACTCGAGTAGTGCCATTAGATCACAAGGTTTTGGCAGCACGACAATTCATATATATAGTCCAGTGCAGGCCTAATCTTATGATTGGTAATAGAGACGTGACTTTGGTTTTGTCGGCCGGCCGACCTAATCATATGGGCTTGCATTGTAAGATGTAACCAACTAACAATTCCATGGCGATAATTTCATGCACAAGAAAACGAATTGAAAAGGCATTTATTGCCAACAACCATGAATCTACCATGAAAGGAATCTTCTTAACTTGGAGAAATACATTTTAAAAGTCAAATCAAGTAGTAGTAATTCAGGTTCACATAACAGAGCTAGTGTGGAGAGAAGGGAAAATGGAGAAGATAACGCACAAGACGGTGGGCGTGAATGGGATAAATATGCACATTGCAGAATTGGGGGAAGGCCCCTTGGTCCTCTTCCTCCACGGCTTCCCTGAGCTCTGGTACTCATGGCGCCACCAGATCCTGTTTCTCGCCGCCCAAGGCTACCGCGCCGTGGCGCCGGACCTCCGCGGCTACGGCGACACCACCGGCGCACCCACCGACGACCCTTCAAGCTTCACCGCGCTTCACGTTGTGGGTGACCTCGTAGCTCTCCTCCAATCCATATCTCCAGATGAAGACAAAGTGTTCGTTGTGGGTCATGACTGGGGTGCAGTCATAGCTTGGCATTTGTGCATGTTTAGGCCGGAGAAAGTGAAGGCTTTGGTCAACCTCAGTGTTCATTTTCTCCCTAGGAATCCTCACATGAACCCTGTCGATGGGATGAGGTTTCTGTATGGAAATGATCACTATATCTGCAGATTCCAGGAGCCAGGAGAGATCGAAGCTGAATTGGCCCCTCTTGGAATCAAGACATGTCTCAAAAACTTCCTCACATTCCGCAAACCACAACCGTTTTATTTTCCTAAAGGCAAAGGCTTTAGTGCCAATACAGATGGTTCAACTGCCCAGCTGCCATCTTGGTTGCCGGAGAAAGACTTGGATTATTTTGTCAGCCGGTTTGAGAAGACAGGCTTCACCGGAGGAGTTAACTACTACCGAGCTGCGAATTTGTGAGTCACCCTTCATTCTTTTTTTCTTCTTTTTTTTTTTTTTTGAGTGAATAGGGAAACTCGCAGTCACTATCGGATTGTGTGCCTAAGAACTAATTAGTAATAAACAAGCCTAAACTGGCAATCACTATTCGACAGTGTGCCCAAGGGCAAATTAGTAATAAGCGAGCCTAAACTTACTACTGGAAATTATTGAATTTCCGACCACCTGAATGTGATATTAAATCAAGTTGAAAGTCTTGTTCTGACCACTTTGGTATTCTCGAAATCTCATTGATCAGGGCTTCCTTATCTTCTTAAAATGCAGGAACTGGGAGCTGACTGCACCCTGGACTGAGGCAAAAGTGATGGTGCCAACCAAATTCATAGTTGGAGAGCTGGACTTAGTTTACCATATTCCAGGTGCAAAAGAATACATACACAATGGAGGGTTGAAGAATGATGTGCCATTGCTGGAAGATGTGGTGGTTCTCAAAGGTGTGGCTCATTTCATCAATCAAGAAGCGCCAGAAGAGGTTAACAACCATATCTTCCACTTTCTCAAGAAGTTCGTCTAAACTTCCTTGTGAGGTTGGATTGTGTTTAGGATGAATAACAACCTTAATAGTGAAGCCAAGCGTTGCACTTCTAAGTTCTAAAAAACTGTATGTGTTTCTGAAAGTCTAAATGGAACAGGACTGGATTTGATGATCTATATATGAAGTTTCTGATTATTCCCTGGCCTGATGTTTTGCAATTTTCGTTTTGCCTAAAGCAACGGATTTGATGTAGAAGAAGTATGTTTATTGGAGTTTGAACTCTGGCCTGGGTTGGTTCCATACATGACTCGGAAGAATTTGGATTGGGTGTAACTGGAATATGGTCTCAATTAGTATCATGTTTTTCCATAGACTGGATATTGCATTAGGACCTTTTAACTGGAAAAAAAAAATTTAATGAGGTACCTTCAACGGAATTGTTATATCATGGACTAGGGTCCATTTTGCAAGGTGGGTGGATCCTGGTCCTAAACAATGTATAAATTGTGTGTTTTTAATATTGGAATTGTGGGGAAGCCGTTTCTATGTCAGGTTGCGGGGTTTGGACCGATAATCCTCCCCCTTTTCTTGTTGACGTTCTTTCGAGTGATTTAATGCATTAAGTATTTCCTTTCAAAAAAATATTAGAATTGTGAATTTTTAGAATATAAATTGTATTTCTAAGTCAAAACGCATAACAACTGGAGAAAGAAATTTGTGAATACAATATAATCTGTTAGTGTTGTGTGACTGCAGTATTTGAAAGTAACTTGTAAATAAAAAACAAGGTAATTAATTACATATATATTAACATTGTGTATTGAATTTTTAAAAGGTAAATTGTAAACATTTAACTAGTATGTAAACTGTGAACATTTAGAAGGCGACCCACTGGGCTGCCTTCTCACCGGAGAAGGCAGCTCAGTTGCCTTCTCCGGTGAGAAGGCAGTCCCTTACCTTCTCACCGGAGAAGGTGACCGTTTTTTAATAAATATTAATATTTGACCACATTTAATTATGGTGTTGCAAATAACATTTTTCCATTTGCACCACCTATAAAGTTATTATATACATTTAATAGGTACCGTAAATAGAATTTCCCTTAAATAACTAATGGCTAAACACGTGTGAGAATCTCAACAGTTGGAGTCTACCGGGGCGGCGGAGGAAGGACACCATTTATGATCTGACGAGAAAAACAAATCTTTTATAAAGTGAGAGAACCCAGGTTGAGGTTGAATATTCTCCCTCGAACACAACCTTCACGGAGCTAGAGAGCGAGTGAAAATGGAGAAGATAGCGCACAAGACGGTGGCGGTGAATGGGATAAATATGCACGTAGCAGAATTAGGGGAAGGCCCCTTGGTGCTCTTCCTCCACGGCTTCCCTGAGCTCTGGTACTCATGGCGCCACCAGATGCTCTTTCTCGCCGCCAAAGGCTACCGGGCCGTGGCGCCGGACCTTCGCGGGTTCGGGGACACCACCGGCGCACCCACCGACAACCCTTCCAAGTTCACCGTGCTTCACGTTGTGGGTGACCTCATAGCTCTCCTCCAATCCATCGCTCCAGATGAAGACAAGGTGTTTGTTGTAGGGCATGACTGGGGTGCAATCATCGCTTGGCATCTGTGCTTGTTTAGGCCCGACAAAGTGAAGGCTTTGGTCAACCTCAGCGTCCACTATGCCCCTAGGAATCCTAACTTCACCACTGTTGATGCCATGAGGGCAATGTATGGAGATGACCACTACATCTGCAGATTCCAGGTACAAACAAACACCTTTCCATTACAAGAAAAAACTGTAATTCATGAAATTAGTACAAAACAGATTCTACATACTTTGTGGTGGTTCTTGTAATGATGCAGGAACCTGGAGAGATTGAAGCTGAGTTGGCCCCTATTGGAGTGAAGACATGTCTCAAAAACTTCTTAACATACCGCAAAACTGAACCATTTTATTTTCCTAAAGGCAAAGGCTTTAGTGCTAACACTGATGCTGCTCCAATACCCCTGCCATCTTGGTTGCCTGAGGAAGACCTGGATTACTTTGCCAGCCGGTTTGAGAAAACTGGCTTCACTGGACCAATCAACTACTACAGAGCTCTTAAACTGTGAGCCACCCCCTTTCTTGTACATATTTTCTCTACCCAAATATCTGGACTTCATCTCATGCTATTCCCTGTATTTGCATTCAGACTAAAAGGTGTTTATGGTAACTGGTAATCTCATAGTATGAGTAGCAGAGTAGTTATGAGTGATTTCGATTTTCAGATGGAACTAATATTGAGGGATTTAAAATGCAGAAATGCGGAGCTGACTGCACCCTGGACTGGGGCAAAAGTAATGGTGCCAGCCAAACTTATAGTGGGAGAACATGACTTGGTTTATCATATTAAAGGTGTAAAAGAATACATACACAATGGTGGGATGAAGAGTATGGTACCACTGCTGGACGATGTGGTTGTACTCCAAGGCGCAGCTCATTTCATCAACCAAGAAGTTCCTGATGAGGTTAGCAAGCACATCTACGAGTTCTTGAAGAAGTTCTAAACAATCTTTGTTGCAAAGCCACATGTTAAGGCAGCTTAATAATAAGTTTGATTCTGTAAGTCTGAAGTATGTGATGATCCTGAAGTTCAAACTTTTCATATGAATAAAATGTTTCTGTTTTACAATTTTATTTCTCACAATGAAATGTAAGATGGTACACCGTCAGGTCTGGGTCAGTTTACAGTATAATAGTACATTGAAAATATCATGGTTTAGCAATCTGGCGCCTTCCAACATCAAAATGCACATCCAGGATACCTGTTATTCCAGCTTCTATCTTTTGTCCTACCTTCACTGGGCCAACACCTTCAGGAGTTCCTGTTGAAAGAGGAATAAATATGTCAATGGTTGTGTGATAATTTTCGAAAATTATAAGAAATGTGTAAACTGTCCCGCTTGTGCTTTTGTTTTCCAGAAAAGCAAACTAGCACAGTTCCATTTTGTTATGGTGAATCCTAGACATGAAAGTAGACAAGATGCATAAAAGCAAACAACCATAAAGTAACCAATAATTCATCACTTTCCTAAAACAAATATATATTAGCACTGAAGTGATTTTCCTTCTCCTAAGTCTGGTGTAGTTCAATATATTACTTTTAACAACAACAAAAAAATCATAAATCTAGAAGGAACGTAACGCATTGCCCATATCCCTCATTCTTGATGGCACGAAAAGCACACAAATCAGTAAAGGAACCAGACACAGGGTGCAAAATCCTATTAGCCTGATGACCTTATATTGGAAATTACTAAGGCCCTACCGATTTCATTACCTTTTGTTATTGGGCTAATAAAAAGGTAGTAAACTTTCAATCATGGTGTTTCTAAAAAGAAAACACCTTTGCATATACTGCCAATTCACATATACAATAATAAGTATAATTTAGAATTTCATACCAGTTAAAATGACATCACCCTCAAGTAGTGTCATAATAGAACTTATGTAGCTAATCAAATATGGGATCTTGAATATCATATCCCGTGTAGAGCCTTTTTGTCGAATTTCTCCATCAACCTGCAATGTAGTAGGATAGTGCAGAGATCAGCCCCAATCATGAACACAAAAACACATATATATGTACATGAAAGGCAAAGAACAAGCATTTCTTATACCTTCAACCACAATTCAATATCATGGGGATCTGGCACCATTGATGCTGGAATCTGCGGAAAACAGATCTTTGATTATCAACGGATAAAACACACAAAATGCTAAAACTATAGGAAAACGTTAAATGAGAAGTTTCTGCATTTGCATTTGATCATCAGTGTAAAGGATAGAATCGCCCAACTAACTGTCAAAATGATTGCATATATCTCTATTTAGAAACCTACTCAGGAATCATTACCACAGATCCAGCCCTTTCTTAATATTGTTTCCAAGTAATTCATGGTTGTCCTATAAGATAAATATATGTAAACACTCAATCTGAGTCGGATTTGCAGAAAATGCATGTTAAAAAGGGTTTTTAAATAGCTGATATCCAATATTGAACACTATATCACAATGACAGTTCATTTAGATGTGAAGAAGAAGCCAAATTGGCAAAATGTCATCCTACAGCCCAAAATTTGATTGTTCAGAATCAGATCTACAAAATGAATATACAGAATGGAAGGAGACATGATATTGAAGTGGAAACATTTCTTACAACAGCACTGATTGGAGTGAAGGTGTCTTGGCCTTTAGCTACAGTCCATGGCAAACCTGCAGACTGGCATGCAGAACAGCGAAAAATCATAAACATTAAATGGCAGAAAATAGGAGAAAACAAATAGAAAACCATCAGCTGGAGAGATGAGGTTAGAAGGGATTTCCATTTGAAACAAGTGATGGGAGAAAGTAATGGAAGGCAAATGACAATGTACAATTTACAGAGATCATCCCCAACAGAGAATAAGGAGCATTTCAAAATGGCATCATGACATTAGAGAGGCACTATCCAAACTGGAAGATGAAAAGATATTCATACCTTTGCAGCAGATTGGATCTCCCTTGCAGTCATATCCAACGCAAGAGCATAACCTGAAACAAAAAATTTTAACCAGTCAATTTGATTCCATGTGCATTGTGACAATCCGCATAGAGTAATTAATATTCAACATTCAACAATAGAACCAGGCAACACCACCAAAGAAGCTAAAATACGGAACGTATTTAGCAATCTTGCACTCAAAAATAATAAAATGCAAATAATTATGTAATATATATACATATATATAGCATGACTTTGTGCAGCAAATAAAGATCACACTCTACAGAAACCAGCAACAATGGCTCTTCATTACACCTCTCAAGGTCTTATTTTAACAAATCTGTCACTTTACATTGCCTTTTAGGAAAAGGATGTTTCTGCTGACAACCAAACCAAAGTTCCTATAGTCTGAACAAAATCAAAATTGTTAAAACTAACATAAATTTAAAGCAAGAAGTTATTGATTTCTCAACAGAAAACATAACTGGGGACCATAGAAATTCAAAAACTCAGTAAGTGTTAAGTGTGGCTCAACTCCACGTAGCCAACCATTTCTCCATCATCTATCATGCATCTCTCCATCATCATGCAGTGCAGCACGTTGCTGCTTCCACGCTGCATATCCTCACATGTTCACCACAAATGGCGCAAGCTCTCCTCCAAGAAGTGTATAAATAGTCTGTTTGTTTTGCATTCATAATCAATTCATCATTACACCTTTACCTCATTTCTCTCATCCTTGTAATATCCTCCCAATTTAGCAATTTCTTAATTTGTAATTTTTATATTTTCCCTTCTTATTTAACTTCTTTTTACATAATTCTCAATTGTTCAATTATCGGCTTCTGCATTATTTTGCTATATTCATAACACATTGAAATTAACTAATTAAGGAAGGCACCGATCCACTAGTACAGTGCTCCCTAAATCAGCACATTGAAAGACAACATAACCATCAAAAGAGATGTCAAAACACCAAAAAGAAAAAGAGTTTTCAGGCAAATAACTCAAATTCAATAACCTAAATTCATAGAATTACCTCCGACATAGTCCATAGCAGTGGCCTCGGGTACATCCCTAGCTTTTTTGCCGATCACCACCGCCAGCTCCACCTCATGATGCAGCGATTCCAGAGGATGCGGCACCTCGATCGTTCCTCCATTTTCCAAATACGAACTTGTCGGCTTCAGAAACAGCACTGGCTCCTATAGTAATACCAGCAATTACACACATCAGGCGTAGATAAAATATTCAGACATCCATACATATAGATGGAGGACGGACCTTAGGGACGGCGTTGCCGAGCTCTTTGGCGTGAGCGACATAGTTGCGCCCGACGGCGACTATCTTAGTGCCGATGCTAAGGAGCTTCTGAGTAGCTGACGTGGTGGTCGCCATCTTCGTGCTTGAGAATCGTACGAATACTTCGTTGCTGTGTGTATGTATACATACTGGCACAAAGTGCAGTCAAAGGGCTGTTTGGTTTAGCTCATTTCAGATGCTTGCTTTGGTTTGACTTTTGTGAACTGAGGTTTTTTTTTTTTTTTTTTTTTTTTTTTTTTTTTTTATGACTTAAGTTTTTCAACTTTGCGATGGACCCATGAACCAATCTCTATGTCTATGAAAAGGTAAATTGAACTACTCTTTTTGTTTCTTATTTTATTTTATCCTCTAATTTTGTTCATAATTATTTTCTTGAATATTGACTCAAAATTGATTAATATAATGCACTAGTATTTTAGCAAAGGGCAAAGCATGAAAGCCTAATAAAAAGCAACCAAGTTGGAGTAATCTCATCCAAGTTATATGGTTGATTTGGTAACCACAAGATTACAAGTTCAACTCTCCACAAAAACGGCCTATTGGTTTGAGTCTTATGGGCAACCTAAGCTAAGATGAAAAGAAGTTTACTCAATATACGCCATTGAGTAGTGACTATGAATTTTTATGGTCAATTAAAAAAAAAAATAAATAAATAAAAATAACCAAGTTAATTTTGAGTGTACTATCAATTTTTTTCTTTATTTTCGGTCATGTCCATCTAATCATCTCAAGTGAAAAATTAATATTATTTCACAATTTTTTTTATGAAAAGACATATTTCCATTGAGCGCCATGGAATTAGCAGACTCCACACACTTTTAATTAAATACTAAATAATATAATTGAATTGTGCCACATTAAAAGGGAAAATTAGGAAGGGTACCTAACATTATTCTTCTCACTTAAATTGCACCTCTAAATCAATTGTTGGAATAATTGTATGAAAAAAAAAAAAAAAAAAAAAAAAAAAAAACACACAAAACAAAACAAAAACAAAAAACAAAAAAAAAAAATCAAATTTTATACAGGCCCAAATTGTACCAAATGAACATTGACTAGATGGCAAATGCGCAGAGGCAGAACCGCAGTAACAAAATATGGGTTTGGGCCTTTGGGTGGATAAGTCTTGTGAGGAGTCGTTTACATAGAAGTATAAGTCCAATCTAGTCAAAGCTATTATTAAATAACCTATAACATTGTTGTTACAATGTTTTTTTTTTTTTGCACAGAGCCATTAAGTATGTTTAACCAACCTTGACAGCAAAGAGAAGTGAAGTACCGGCAAACACTAATATAATTAATGTACGGAGTATAAGACAATCATGTCATTTCAAGCACAAGGATTAACGGTACAATTGTAGCTAATAACAAATTAATGACCTTGTGATTTAATGGTACTAAATTGAACTCTCACATGAGATGACGTGGGTTCGAGGCACTATTAACTTTCTATACTATTTAGTGAACTTGTTCTACTAACAATATATTTAGTCTTGACAGAATATTAATGTCCAATTAAAATTTCCATCCTATGAACATTTTACAATATTATCAATTAATTAAAGGCCCGGTTAGTACATCATGATTAAGAAACCTAAATCATAATCCTCAAATACTAGATTATGAACAAAGACAAAATTGAACTCTAGTGGCCACAATGTAAAAGTTACACCTAATGTGATAGGCTCCTTATAAGCATCAGGTATGAATCCTTATAAGCAATTGGATCACCATAATTTATTCTTTCACTATCTTTTCAGTCCGATGAGAAAAACTTTTGGGACGAGAGAATTTTGTCTTTTGTGGACAAGATTCAACCCTCTTTCACTCCATCCATAGAGCATCTACAAAGGTATGAAGAAATAGACAACACAGCCTACGCAATCGCACACCTTGAGCAAAGCCAAAATCACGAAGAAACAGAGTCATACACATCAAGACCGCAAAGCAATCGCAATTCCGGACCATTTAATGTTGAGATTTTCCTTAAGACCCACAAAATGAAAATAACGTACCCTTCTTTGAAGTAAAAATAAAGAGCACATGTACTAGAATTATATTTCTATTTCAGTTTGAATTTTTAGTTTAAAGTTTATGAATTTGTTCGGGTTTGGACATTAACTACTCTATAAAGGGATAGCCCAAAGCATTTCTTTCAGGCCCAAAGAAATCATCATAATCTGGAAGACAGGAGCACAAAAGGTCAACATCAGTGATGGAACACCTAAACCTTACACCTTGTCCCACTTAACATCGCAAAGTCCTGATGTTCGCTTTTACCGAACAGGTAGGCACAACCTCCTCTCCAAATAGACAGTGGGGAATGGATTGATAATATAATATGCCCATCACTCTACTTATTCTACTCTTTCAAGCTGATTTCTATGGCTCATTAACTCTATTGTTAGATTGAGGTGTACACTAAAATCATTACTTCAATATAATTTCATATTTTAAATGTTACAATCAATTTTCAATAAAGTAAGCTTTGATTTACAAGAAAGCCGTGCCAATAAAGTAATCTTTAATTTACAAGAAAGTCCATAGTTGCTACTTAAAAGTACGTTGTGGGTGAAGCCCGTGACCCTAGCAGGTAAAGGACCACAAGAAAGTAAATCAACATAAATTGTCTATAGTTGACTTGCTCAAACTAAGAAAACCAATGAGTCGCTCACACTGGGAGTCGAACTTGGAACCTTGTGGTTACCAAATCAACAATCTGGCTCGATTGGAGTTGCCCCACAATAAAGTAATATTATCACAAGCCGACAAAGGTAAAATAACCCAAGTTGCCCATAACTGATCGACTAAAACCGAGAAGGCCAATAAACCACCCTCACTGAAAGTTGAACTTGGAACCTTATGATTACCAAGCTAACAACTCGACCAACTCAACTAGGGTTGTCCCTACAATAAAGTTATCTTATCACAAGTTAATCAAATAAAGTCATAACTTTAAATAAAAAAATAGAAATTTAAGTATTATAACATAATACTTCGTAATAACTTTCACTCACATTTGTGTTAAAGCAAAACTAGATCTCTCAGCGAGAGTAGCCTATTGGCATTCTTGATTTTAACCGGTATGCACAATTTAAACCAGTTTATCTCTTTATGGTTATTTGTCAATTACGGGATTCACCCAATGTATACCCTCTTTTCCCTGTCACTCAAAAAATCAATTTCCCCACTTCCTGAAAAACCACAAATACACAATTTATTGTAAATAGCATAACAAATGGCAACAGTGACAGGTATGATGGTAATAATTAAGAGAAAAAGGAACGGATTGCGTCTTGGGCATCCCTTGATGGAGTTTGTTGCATGTGCACAACTTAGCAAAGCAACAACGTGCGCACCATGGACTTGACAAGTAACTACTTCACATGATTTGGACTTCACAATACCTTCATATGAGTTGTGTTTTTCTATTTGAGTAAGCTTTTGTGCACCTTTTCCTCTTGGACAAAAACTAACTGCCATAGTGGGTAAAAGTACGAATGCCTGCCTGCCTGCCTACCCACCCCACCCTTCAGTCACTAGTTCTTAGCTCATGTTACTAGTGAAAAATGTGTGCCTAACCAATGGAGAGTCGGTTGTAGTTAGGACCAATAGCACATGTTGATAAAATTAGGATAGTTTCATGTCACAAAACCATTTTGGAAAAACTCACCATTCACGTGGTGATATTGCCATCTCTCCATTTGGCAATACGGTTTTTACCCCCGTGATCTATCTAAGCATCATGCATTTCCATGGTGTTCATCATCACATGCAGACTGTTCTCTTGAAGCATCAGAAACCATGCCCTCCATCAACAGTAGTAGCCACCTTCTCTTTTCGGTCAACTGCAAAAAGAAACAGAGTTTATGAATTTGAGGCTGTAATTGGAGCAAAAATTTTCGAAACACAACTCAACAGTGCTGAAATTCATGGCTTACAACATTAGAGTTTGTATTAAAGTTTTCTTTTACAGCAATAAGTAATAATTAGTTGTAGAATACCATTGTTCAAAAAGTAAATGCAGAGGCATAATGGCTACACAGAAGAGAAATCTGACCAAATGGTATGCCTAGATTTGGACAAATAGGGACCCCAGATTTTTGTCCAAAAATAACATTCTGAAATTTTAACATGCAAAGAATTGTCTTTCAACACATTTTTATCATTTCAACTAGAAATAGTTTTATAATGCCATGAGTACTGCATGGAATTTCGACACTTGACACCAGTGGCATTCTGCACTTTGAATAACTTGCAACAAAGGGTACGTGTCTTGTCCCCCAGCAGAATTCAGCGACTTAAAGCTAAATACAACAATGAATCAACTCGAAAATTTGAATTCAGCCATGAAGCGCAAATAAGTCCTCACACCACATAATCTCCAGACAATGTTTGAAACGTGACATTTAATAATGATTCATATTGCAGATTCGCAGTTTTTCATCATAATGCACTTTGCAGTAAATATATTGTGTAAAGTATATTCTTCAAAAAGGAACTACCTTTCTGCTATCATAGCATACAAGTATACCCTTGAGCAAAGCACTCATGCCAAAGCAAAGTTGAATTGAAAGATAACTAACAATTATAAGGAAAAGAAAGTGATAATATTCAATTTTTCTATCTTTTTACTTTATGACTCAATAGGTACGCCTCCATGATGTGGCACTTTCTTGAGGAAAAGAAACCAAATATTATGGACAATCTAGTAAGAGGAGATTCTAATATTCTATACACTAATGACTTTCTAAACTTGAGACTTACCTAGAAATACAATAATAGCCATCGATTATAACTAATGAGAGAGTTTTGACCAAATCTAAACAGAGATAAAAGTGCTATATTCATAGAGAAATCATAGCAGCCAACCCTCAAGAGCAATTATTATACAAAGACCCACATGATCTCTTTTGGGTTGTTGTTATTTATTTATTTTGCTTCAATTAGAGTTCCATAAACTGATCAACCATATTATGTAATTATACTATAATACAGTTCTAGACCTCAAGCTTTCATGCCTACAAACAAAAAGCAAGGAGCCAACCTAAGTACAAGTGGGGCAATGAATAAATAAATGACGGATATGATGCTGACATTTGTGCATGTTGTAGTTACTGGAGCTCACAGAGAAATGAAACATCTTTTGACCTATTGGTGGTTGGAGTACAACATTATCCTCTTGTCAAAACATGAAGGATTTTAACATTTCACTTCCCCAATGAATTGATGGAAATATACATATCACTCATTGTGGGGGAATGGTAACCAGTCGGTTGTTTAAATTCTTTGATACAATGCCTGAGACATTGGGACCAAATGCACAACGTTGAAGAGAAACCTTTTGGGACATTGCAAGAGATGCAACCATTCTCTTAACAGCCGTACCAAATTAGCTGTTGAGGTGATACTCAGTTTGAAGGTATAGTATCTCCATCTTTGAAATGGGAAAATGATTATGCTTAAATTGCAATTTGTCTACAGAGGTTTTTAGAGGTGGGGATAATCATTGCTGTTTAGTATTCATTTGGCAGTTAATTGATGCAACTAAATGCACATGCATGGTTTCATCAGTGCATGACAAGATTATTTTCAATTCAAGTTCTGATTACTTTTAATCAGAAAGAATGACACATAAACGCACAAAGAGACGTAGGTATCAGGTTTTCCAGGAAGACACTGTATTATGTAAGGAGAAAAAACATAAGGTTGGTAAATTATGAGATTGGGATCAATTCAAAAGATGATGTTATGTAAAATAAGCCGGTGATGCATTTGAGCTCAATGATAGATACAGATCAACGCCAAAAGGACTAATAACCAAAGGCACGCTTCTGAAGATACTATTGAGTTCAAAGTTGCATGTTTTACTTAAGGAACATATGTAGTATCAGTTACAGACTTAAAGTTCTGATTTGACTTTTGGCACCATAAGTATGCACTCTCATGATAAAATGGTGAAAAAAGCAGAAGTGCGTGCCCCAATAGTATATGCTAAATCAAAAGATTGTTGTGTTAAGTGCTTGGCACAAGGAGTAGGCTACTACTAAAATCGGGTGTTTGGTCATAGTATCCTGGATACAGTTGGCGACTTTCACATAAACATCAAAGGAAGGTTTTCCCTTTTTGCTTAGTCTAAAATATCAAGCTGCATGTGACACAGAACCAAATTGAGGACATTCCACTACTATTAATGGATTTACTTTTCTATCATAAACATGATAAGAAAAACATGAGGCATGACTTTTCAGGGATTTTGCTACATGTCTATATCATGGAACTCTTTTGATAAAGACCTCGGCTAAACAGTTTATTGTAATTATATCCATTCAAGCATTCTACAAGGACAGATGATAGTAATAAAATAATATCCACGCAAAGTTATCAGAACCAGATCAGTGTTAATATTCTTGGATTGAAACTAAACTTTGTTCATAAAAAGTAATGCATACTTGAATTTGACAGGTAAAAAAGCCAACATAAAATTTCTGAATTTTTTGGTAAGGGAAATAAAAATGTGGAGGAAAATGAGGTTGGATCTGCTTCGAAGATAAATCATAGTACCATAGATTTAGGTAAATAATATTTGAAGATGGCCATCTAGATATGCTCTGATATTTTCTGCAAAGGAACAAACTGCTACCAAGACAGTTGGTGAAGGGCAGCTACTCTTTTATCATGTAGGATAATTCATAATTACTGTGCTTTTTATAAAGTAGCTGTTCCATATATTTATTTTTTAACAGTAATCAAAAATCCCACTGCCTCCTGCCCCTATAAAACTCCTTCAATTGTTTTTCATTTGAACATCTCTCTCTCCCTCTCCCTCTCTCTCTAGGTGATTGCAAGTGTGTCATTGTGGAGTTGATTGTTTATGCATGGAAGTAAAACTGCATGAGTAAAAGAATACACACAACCAACTGTATCTCTTATGCTGAAGGCACAAACATACAAGAGCAAATACTAACCAGCAAGAAGAAAAGATGGCAGCAAAGCAGACACAAAAGCACTCAACAATACCAGAGGTATGAAAACAGAATCTTACAAGTTACAAGAGTGAAACTCGCATACATGGATCACTTTGATAACAACTTTCTTTTTCCATAACTATGCAGGTAATGGAGGAACTGAGGAAAATGATAGACACATGTTTTCCAATGATTGCAATGGGCTTGATAAGCTACATGAAAAACATGATTCTAGTAGTGTGCATGGGAAGGTTAGGGAGTTTGGAGCTAGCAGGCGGTGCATTAGCCATAGGTTTTACTAATATTACTGGTTACTCTGTCTTGTCTGGCTTAGCATTGGGGATGGAGCCAATTTCTAGCCAGGCTTTTGGATCAAAAAACCTGACCATAGTTTCTCTCACTCTACAAAGAACAATCTCAATGTTACTCATGGCATCTTTACCCATTGGCCTCTTGTGGTTTAACTTAAAGCCTCTCATGTTATGGCTCCACCAAGATGCAAAAATAATACACATAGCAAGCCTGTTTTGTCAGTTTGCTATACCAGATCTTGTCGCTAATAGCATTCTTCATCCTTTGCGTATATATTTGCGCTGCAAAGGGACAACATGGCCACTGCTATGGAGTACTTTAATTGCTACAATGTTGCATCTTCCCATTGTCTTTTACCTGACTTTCAGCCTTAAACTTGGGATACAAGGAATTGCAATTTCCACATTTGTTGCAAACTTTATTGGCTTGCTCTTCCTTTTAGGCTACATCCTCTATACCAATGAACAAAATGAGGCCCTATATAAACCCCTAGCCACAAATTTGAAATCTTCTACTTCAATAGGAGAGGAATGGGTGATCCTACTTCGTCTTGCTCTACCCAGTTGTCTAGCTGTTTGCTTAGAGTGGTGGTGGTACGAGTTCATGACACTTCTAGCTGGTTACCTTGTTCGACCTCAAGTTACTCTCGCAACAGCAGCAATAGTGATACAAACTACATCTCTGATGTACACATTGCCTTCAGCACTTAGCAACTCAATCTCAAGCAGAGTTGGGAATGAACTTGGAGCAGGCAGGCCAGGAAAGGCTAGATTGGCAACAGCTATAGCCATAGTTCTGGCCTTTCTAGCATCAGCATTTGGCATCTTACTGACCACCTTAGGGAGAGAAGTCTGGGTTAAAATATTCACAACAGATACTGAAGTTCTGGAGCTAACAGTAACTGTGCTACCCATCATTGGACTATGTGAACTGGCTAACTGTCCACAAACTACATGTTGTGGGGTTCTACGAGGAAGTGCTAGGCCTAACATTGGCGCATGCATTAACTTCTATTCATTCTACTTGATGGGGGCACCATTGGCCATCATAATGGCCTTTGTTTGGAAGCTAGAGTTTAAGGGTCTTTGTTATGGTCTTTTAGCAGCTCAGGTGGCATGTGTAATCTCAATGTTAATAGTAATTTACAGAACAGACTGGGAGAAAGAGTCAGCAAGGGCAAAAGACTTGGTGGGAGAAAGTAGAGAAACATCATTTGAAGATCCAATGATAAAATTCAAGGAAGGAGAAGAGTTTAGGATTTCCTTTGAAGAGGGAGTAAATTTACAAAAGTAATACAGCCACCAGAAAAGGAAATAGACGCCAGCAATGGAACAATGACAGAATTTTCACTTTTGTATTCTCATTGTTTAGGTCATAATATATGTTACAAAATACTAATATGTTCTCCATATAATAATAAAAATTTTATAAAAAAAACCATGCCAACATTACCTGAAATGGAAACATTTAGATGTCCAGTACTCTCCTATGTGACAACCTAGAATGGAATAAAGAGGCACTAATTCAGATGCCAATATTCCTTGTCAAGTGATACATGGCTCATTGTGTGTCTCCTCTATAACACTAGCTCCTTATCATTAAACTACTGATCTATCTCCTCGACTGATTTAAAATTGTATGCATAAATCAACATCCATAGTTATAAATATTATCAGTCATCTCGTCACATGCATCATCCCCTGAAGCTGAAGTTTATAAAAATATAGCAAATTATCTGCTTTCTTTGCTTAAGGTTTATTTTCTTTCCTTATTCCAAAATTCTAATGATCCCATCACTACCATTCAGCACCCTTCATCAAGCAAGGTGACCTCCTGTTTCTGGGTGCATATTTTTCAGTGCCTCTGCATACATATAGGTCTAGAAGACAATGGTGAAACAGGATGCAGTGCCAAATGACATTGACAGAGGTGATTTAGAGTGTCAAGGATGATTAAGATTAGAAAATGGTGTTAGGCTTGGAGCAGTTGGGCACACTAGTTTGGGTTTCATCAAACTTGAATGTTTCTCATCTCTTTCTTGTAAACAAGCCAGGATAGTTTTTGCAGAACCAGATTGATACAGAAACATGAAATCAGTTTTTATATACTCAATAATTTTGAGATTTTCGTTACTCTCTATTGACTCGATAGGCACGAATTCATCATCCTAACTTCCTAAGCCTTTTATCAATGGAGAATACTTTCTATCTCCTTTTCTTTTTCTTTATTTATCAAACGAAGGTAAAAACAATTCATAAATCTAAGTGTTTCTACAATTGTCACTGGAAAATCAACATAACAGACCACTGATTCAGTACAGATAGAATTGAAAGCTTCACCGCTCCAGAAACCTAAATTACAGCACACAAACGTACAGCGAAAATGACTGATCATATAATTAGATACATTTGACGATAGGGATGCACAGAGGAGAGCATACCAAGGTCGGTGCTCGGCCATTGGAGAGGAACGGAGTTGGCGGATGATGGTGGCGCGGAGTATCGGGAAAGGAACGTTGTACTTCCCGCCATTATTGGTGCATACGGAAGCCAAAAGGACGTCGTTTTATAAAAAAACGCGCGTCTTCCCTTTTAAAAAAATTCAGGTTCGACCAGCAACAACATTATATTGTTCATTCATTTTGAAATTTTAGTTCATAGATTATGGAATTATAGTTCAATGATTATGGAATTATAGTTCATCGATTATGGAATTGTAGTTCATCGGTTCTGAAATTTTAGTTTATAGATTATGGAATTTTAGTTCATTTATTCTGAAATTTTTAGTTCATAGATTAGATTATGGAATTATAATTCATCGATTATGGAATTATAGTTCATCGATTATGGAATTTTAGTTCATATGTTGTTGATGGGAATCGAACTTGAATTTATTTTTAAGGGAAGACACACATTTTATTAAAACGATGTCGTTTTTGCATCCGTATGCACCATGCATGGTGCATACGGATGCACAACATAATTTGCCCCATTAGAAAGATCTAATCTGGACTTTGGTTTTTTGGACTAATGATTATATTTTGATGAAACCTTGGCCCAACTTTTTTATTGGGTTTCAGACCTTCGTTCTAACATATTGTACATGAGGAGAATGTGGATCCACTTATTATTTTATTAACCATTTAGAAACCTGCAAAATATTTTTTTTTAATAATTTTCAGATAATAATTTGGTTTTTTAGTAAATATTTTAAATTTTTGATGTTTATCTGAATGTCATAAAATTATCTATTTTTGTTTAACTGAAAGTTTAAAAAATTATTTGGTTCATTTTTTCTTAAAATGAACATATTATTTATTATAAAATAATAATAATAAGTGGTTGTAGTGTGGTAATACTAATAAGTGGTTATGGTGTGGTCATGGTAGTGATGGTAATAATAATATAGAAACCAACTTGAAAATATATGAGAGAAAAAGAAAAAGACAGAAAATAAAGAATTTCAAAAAATGTTTTTCAAACTAAAAATTTAGGAAGATGTTTTCAATTAAATTGGACATTTTTTGTTGACCATAATAAATATTTTTCTTGGATGACTTTATTTTATTTGAATATCTAAACATTAAAAAAAATAATAAAATGTCTTCCGGAAGTCATTTTTCAAACAAATTCTTAGTGAAAATCCTACATGTGAATTTGATGCAAATGTAACTTCTCAAATGTTGATATATGTATATAACTATATAAGGTATTTGTATCAATAACCTTATCCCAACCCAAAGAGAGTATGGATGGTCAAAATGATTGGGATCTTGCTGCAGTGGTGAGGGGTTGCAACAACCTCATTGGCAATTTAAATAACCAAGATATTCATGAAATTAGTTATTCAAGGTGCTATGACTCAATCCTTCATTCACATTGCAAAGCACGATCGAAGTCCCTACCAACTAACCCGAAAACTACGCAAAGCACATACCCTGCACTACCACTGCACAATACGATTCCTCGAGCCATCATCTGTCAATCACCTAACCAGACTAGGTTGGGGCCCTTTCGGTCGTTGATGAATAGCCAAGGCGAACAAGAGAGGGGTGGAAAGACTCCACTAGCCACCCATCAGCAATCTGCTAGTACCCCACAAGGTCTGCCAGGGGCGCCCCAACATCCTAGGCAAAACGCTCATCTCCCTTGCTCATTTTCCCAGATTATGTTTCATAATGTGCTGCTAAATGAGTCCTTAGCTCTTTCCCAAAAAAAAAATAAAATGTCAACGACTCCACTTCTCTATTTTGACTCCCCTTGATTAAAGCCCACCCTCATCTCGATCAATCGTTATGCTGTGGAACCGTGTCAAGGTGGACACGATTCTATGTTCATAATTATTGAACTATATGTTCATAATTATAAAGCTATATATTTACAATTTTTGAACTTCATATTCATAATTATTAAACTCTATATTCACAATTACAGAACTCTATGTTCATAATTATAAAACTATATATTCATAATTTTTGAACTTCATATTCACAATTATTGAATCTCTATATTCATAACTACAGAACTATATGTTCATAATTTTTGAACTATATATTCATAATTATGAACAATTTAGGTGGACACGGTTCCAGAACACAATTTGCCTTGATTATCTTTTGAGCCATGCTTCATGGGGCCATCAAGTATATTTTGTAATTTTAATTTAACAAAAGTAAACACATTTATTCAATTTTGTTAAATTTAAAAATATACATCATCTTTTACTATTTTTTAGTACTAGTATTTGCACCCGTGCGATGCACGAAATGGATTTGTTGTAATATATTAATAATATATGAATTAATATATAATTATTTAAATTAGAATATCAAATATAATATAGTACAATTAAAGATATGATTTGGATCGTTTATATATTTTGATGTTATCATTGATTAAATTTGTGCAAATAATTGCTCAAATTGATAGCTATATTTAGATGTACGCATGCGGTGCTATATTTTGAAGATTTTATTTATCATTGTTTAGTATTTTCATAAATTAGGCAAATGTGCTCGTTATCTAACAACTCAGTTATAGAAATGAATTGCTATCATTATTCACTTGTATGGAAGATATATTTTTTTTTGTCAAGATATATAGCATTTTTTTCATTTAAAAAAAAAAAAAAACTTAATATCACCGATTATATTTACACATTATTGAAACCTCTTTGTAGGCGACATTAGGAGTGACAACACAAACTTGTTCATCTTCATCTAGAGCTAACACTTTCAATCCATCAAGACGGGTTACCTGGGTGAAAATATATAATGGTAGAATATCACTTAATTAGTTATCCTTTTATATTTTCAGTTAATTAGTAATATCATATTTATTTTTAGTCAATTATTTTTTTAATATTTTCAGTCAATTAGTCAATTAGAATATCAAATGCAATGATATTTTTACCTAATTTTCGTTCCATTTTTATTTGATGATGTTGATATTATTATTGAAATATTTCTATTTCATTTTTAATTTACCTTTACTATTGTTTAAAATATGCATTTACTATTGATAATGTAGAATATTATTATTAAAATAGTTTCCTTCAATTTTTAATTAAAATGCAATGATCTGACCATTTCTTTTTTTATTTTAGTCAATTATGAATCATTTGTTATTTGCAATCAATTATTAATATTCATTTCCTTTTATATTTTCAGTCAATTAGTAATATTAGATTCATTTTCAATCAATTATTCATTTTTATTTTCAATCAATTAGTCAATTATAATATAGATGCAGTGATGTTTTTTACTTAATTTTTGTTCCATTTTAATTTGATGATGTAGAATATTATTAATGAAATATTTTCGTTCCATTTTTAATTTACCTTTACTATTTTTTAAAATATGCATTTACTATTTGATGATGTAAAAATATTATTATTGAATATTTCCTTCTCAACAAACAAAACAACAAAAAAAAAAAAAAAAAAAAAAAAAAAAAAAAAAAAAAACTTTGGACTTCTCAGTACTTGTCGACATTGATGGGCAAGCAATTATGTTGGTAAGAGGAGCTGGAGATCAAAATGATCGCACATCATTTACAAAGGGAGTCATGGGCTCCCTTGTCTTTATTTATTTATTTATTTATTTTTATATATTTTAATTTTATTTTATATATCGTTTTGTTTGGATTATTACTACTACTACTACTACTACTATTATTATTATTATTATTATTATTATTATTATTATTATTATTATTATTATTATTATTATTATTATTATTATTATTGACAATTTCGTCAAAATTTTAACAAATTCGCTATTTTAACAATTTATCTTTAATCAAAACACCAAACTATTATTTAATAACTCAGTAATTTGCTCGCTCCAAACTGCTAAAAACTAAAACAACACATACATTTTGAGTTAATCTTTCCCAAACCCCACTAATAATAAATAAATAATAAATAAATAAATAAATAATGAAAAACTAAAAAGAAAAAAAAAAAAGCGCTAAGGTTTCTTAAATATGAACATTTTGACTTCTCAATACTTGCCACATTGATGGACAAACAATTATGTTTGTACCTCTTATATAGAAGAGCTCAAGAGCTCCTCTTTTCAAACATTTTCAATATGGGATTAAAATGATCTCACATCATTTACAAAGGGAGCTCGTGGCTCCCCTTTGTCTTCTTCTTCTTTTCCTTTTTTTTTGGTTAATTTTAATTTTATTTTGTATTTAGTTTTGTTTAGATTATTACTATTATTTGTATTTTCACCCGTGCGATGCAGGGAATGAATTTGTTGTAATATATTAAGAATATTTGGATCGATATATAATTATTTAAATTATAACATCAAATATTATATAGTGCACTTGAAGGTATGGTTTGGATCCTTTGTGTTTGATGTTATCATTGTTTGAATTTGAGCAAATAATTGCTCAAATTAATAGCTAATGTGTAGATGTACGCACGCGGTGTTGTAGCTTTGGAGATTTTATTTATCATTGTTCAGTATTTTTATAAATTAGGCAAATGTGCTCATTCTTTATCAACTCAGTTATAAAAATGAATTGATATCCTAATTCATTTGTATGAAAAATATATATTTTGTCTAGATATATAGCAATTTTGCCATTAAAAAAACAGAATATCACCGATTGTATTTACACATTATTGAAACATCTTTATAGACAACATTGGTAATAGCAACACAATCTTGTCCATCTTCGTCTAGAGCTAACACCTTCAGTCCATCAGGATGGGTGACTCGGGTGAAAATATATAATGGTAGAATATCAGTCAATTAGTGATCCTTTTTATATTTTCAGTCAATTAGTAATACCAGATTCATTTTCAGCCAATTATTCTTTTTTTTTAGTCAATTAGACTATTAGATGCAGTGATATTTTTACCTAATTTCCGTTCCATTTTAAAATGATGTATAATATTTTTATTGAAATATTTCCGTTATATTTTTAATTTACCTTTATATTGTTTAAACTTTAAAATATGCATTTCTTATTGATGATGTATAATATTATTGAAATATTTCCGTCTAATT